GTTTGAGTATATATTAATGGTCTCCAGAAGATTATCCCAGAAACCGGAAACAACTCCAGTTCCAAGTTCCTTCTAGGGAAATGAACTGGATCACTAAGGGATGGAGTAGGAGGAAGATTTTTCACTGTATACCCTTTTGTGCCTTTTGGATTTAAACCATTTGAGTCAATTACCCCTATCAAGTTTTAAAAAATAAAATTACAAAAATGGTTAAGTACATTGGACTATCTATGTGGAAAACAAATCTAATTTGATGTATTCTCTAATTACCATTCATTATATAAATTCCAAATGGATTAAAGGACTAAATGATAGAATCAAATTTTAAAACGTTTAAAATGTGTTTATAACATTAGAGTTGGGAAGGTTTGCCTTAAACAAGACACAGAAGTATATGTCAAAAGGGAAAAAAGATTGATTAAAAACTGGCATGAAACACCATAAATAGAGTATAACAGTGACAGACTGAGGGTAGACTTCTGTAACATAATTATCAAAGACTTACTATCCACATTATATAAAGAAGTATTGTGAATCAATAAGAAAAAGGATAAAACACCCCAGTTAAATAGTGTGCAAAAAATATGAATAAGCAATTCATAGGAAAAAAAAAACTGGTGAAAAAATACAATTCCTAGTAAACAGGAAAAAACAAATTGAAAACAAGTCACTATTTCATACCCATAAGTTTGGCAAAAGTCTAAAAATATGACAGTTCCAATTATGGATTAGAATGTAGGGAAATGTAAATTGTGATATTACACTTTTGGTAGAAGTACAAATTATTCCACTTTGGTGAGTAATTTTGATGATAAATGAACATTAAAAGTATGTATACGTTCAAGAAATTCTTATATATGTGCACAAGAGCAGCATAGAAATGTTTTTTACAGCACTGTATTAACAAACTTTTGGAAATAACTAAAATATGGCTGTCAGAGTAAGTTGTAGCAAATCCATAACAGGAACACTAGGGACCGTTTAAATCATTTCCTTGACAGAATAGCAGTGGCTGAGAACAGGGATTCCAGACCTCAGCCTGTGGGTTTGGTCACAGCTTCACCACTTAGCCAGCCATCTGACTGGGGACAAATGATGAGCCTGTGGGCCAGGGTTTCCTCTTTTGTAAAATAGAAACAATAGTATTTACCTTTTAGGAGTTTTATAAAGATGAAGTAGGTCACAGAACAATACCTGACACACTCAACATCAATAAAAATGAGCTGTTGTTCTTTTCAACGTATTAACGCAGGTAAGTATGTAAAACATAAGGAGTTTTTTTTAAAGCAAGGCGTAAAATAATAATACAACATATGCCATTTATATAAATTTATATCCAGGGAAACGATGTTATTTATGAATAGATATATTTATGGTGAAAGTATAAATACATAGACAGGAAGGCTGTAACCACCTTTAGGATAGTGCTTGTCTCCTAAGAGTGAAAGGAGGGAAGTGAAATTATCAGGGGAAATGACTGCAGCTTCAAATATTTTTAGTGTTAATTAAAATCTAAAATAAATACAGCATAATGTTAATATTTATTAAATTTAAATGGTTTATACATGGGTGTCATTTAAATTAATCTACTTGTATGTTTGAAATATTTTCGTAATTTGAAATTTTAAGAGAAGCCTTCAAGAATATCAGAATAAATTAGGAGGACTTTTTAAATTTCTTTTCCATAAACTGCTTTTTCCTTTTTTTAAATGGAAATATATTTATTCTTCATTTTAATACAAAACTACATACTTATAAATTCAAATGAAAATATGTATATAAAATAGAAAGTTAATATTCCTATCTCCCCAGCAATTACTGTTATATACAACTTGCTGTATATCCTTTTCTGATCCTTTTAGACAAGTATAGATACATACAATTAAAAATTTTTATAGCTAAGATCACACTATACATGCTGTTTTTTAATCTTTTTTTTTTCAGCTGCCAACATAAAGTAGATGTCTTTCCATTTTAAGATAGTATATAGCACTCTACCTCATAAACTCCATCTCTGGACATTATTTTACCAGATGATACATTACCCTGTGATAAGACTAATTTGGATATGATCCCATTTGAAGGAGGGATGATAGTGTTGACAACCTCAAGATCTTTCTTACCTTAGAATTTTGTAGTTTCAGAATTCTAATGTAGATTATTTTCTGCTTTTTTAAAAGACATTATTGCAAGAGTATCTCAAGCAGACGTCGTTATAATCGCGATTTAGAACAAGATGAAGCATTTATTCCAGTTGGAGAGTCATTAAAAGACCTTATTGACCAGTCACAAAGTTCTGGTAGTGGATCTGGACTACCCTTATTGGTAAGCTAAAATGTCGTATCACCGTGAATGGTTTATTGATACAGAACGTGTCCTCAAGTGATGGTAAACCGCATGATACAGATCAGGGGACATTACTTGATACATTTTTTTTCTTTTTATTTAGAAAGATGGTTGCAGTAATGCAAGATGAAATTAGTTAAAATAAGAAATATAAAATAAGAAAAATAGAATAGGCAGTTAAGGTAGAGCCACAAGCAAGGTTAGGAGAGAAAATGTGACTGTGAAGTGCTGTGTAAGTGCTAGAGCCAGCTCCCCAGTTTTAACAGCTGCCCTGAAGACGAGTCAGGTATAAAACTGCTTGCGTCTGTAAGGTTAAACTGATTGGGGAAAGTATAACCGTTTCAGATTCTGAAATCAAAGGGAACTTTCTCCCACAGATCGTCATAGAGAGGATACTTCCTTCAGTATAATACAATATTACCAAAATGTAATTCATAAAAATAAGTTTAAAAGGAGTTATAAATAATTCTAAGAGGGTTATATGTATCAAAATATTCAGACTTAGGGGTCAAGGGGACCCTTACAACAAGCACCAGATATCCAGACAGATTTTAATAGTTTAGTTGAATTTGTCTAAAGTAAATACATTGATCTCTAATTTTAAAATTCATTGAATCAGGTAATTCTGTAGTTGAATTGGAAAAGTAAAAGGTAAAATTGTCTTCATATGTGGACGACAAGATTGTCTACATAGAAAATCTCAAGGATGGTAACACAAAGCTACAACAACTAGTAAGTTTATCAGGGCTGCAGAATATGAAGTTATTGTATAAAAGTCATTGAATTTATGTACACTGGCCACAGACGATTAGGGATTAAAATATTTACAGCAGTATCTTTAAAACAGCATCAGAAACATGAGATATTTTGGAATAAGCTTAACAAAATTTATGTAAGGCCTGTGCACTTAAAATTAAAAAACTTTGCCAAAAGAAATTAAGAAAACCCTTAATTAATGAAGTTGTATATCCTGCTTGTGAATCAGAAGACTCAGTGTTAATATTTTAGTTATCCCAAATGGATTTACAGTTTTGATTCTAGCCAAATCAAAATCAGCAAACTTTTTTAGAAATCGATGAGCTTATTCTAATGATTATTTGGAAATACAAAGAATCTATAAGAGCCAAAACCATCTTGATAAAGAAGAGTAAAGAGGATTCACTACCTGATTTCTGAACCTACTGTGAAGCTACAGTAGTCAACACTGTGTGGTCCTGGCATAAGGATAAATACATACATCAGTGGAACAGAATAGAGTCTAGAAATGGACACACACACACATGATCAGTTGTTTTAGATGCCAGAGTAATTGAGTGGGGAAAAGACAGTCTGTTCAAGACATGGTGCCGAAAAAGTTGAGCATCCATTTGCCAAAAAGTAGATCTTGGCCCTTACCTCACTCCATGTACAAAATTACCTTGAAATGCATCATAGACCTAAGTGTGAAAGTTAAAGTATAAAACCTTCAAAAGAAAATGTTTTAGAAGATTATTGTGACCTTGGGTTGAGCAAAGACTTCTTAGGACCCCAAAGTCAAGTCATTTTAAAAGATGATAATTGGTCTTTCAAAATTTAAAACTTTTTCCTATTCAGGAGACACTGTTAAGAAAATGAAAAAACAGGTCATAAACTAGCAAAAGAGATCTGATAAAGAATCTGTGTTGCAGAATATGTAAAGGATTTTTCTTACAAGTCAGTAATGAGACAGACACCCAATTTTTTTATTTAACGGACAAAAGACTTGAACAGACATCTTGTCAAGAGATATAAGAATGGCATATAAGCACATGAAAAGATGCTCATCATCATCATCAAGGAAATGCAAATTAAACACATGAGATGCTGTTAGGATTCACTAGTATGTTAAGTGTGGGAAAGAATGTAGGTCAGCTGGAAATCTCATACACTAGGCATTGGGAAACAGGTTAACAGTAGACTGAAAAGTTAAGCATATACTTTTTATACAGTGAAGCAGTCCTTCTGCTTAGTATGTATATATGCAAACATGTCCATACAAAGATCTGAATATGAATGTTCATAGCAGCTTTATTCATAATAGACATAAATTGTAAACAACCCAAAAGTCCATTAGCTGGTAAATGGATAACATTCATAGAAGAGAGTACTGCTTGTCAGTAAAAGGGAGCGAACTACTGACACATGCAGCAGCAACACAGATGGTTTCAGAGCATTTCATGCTGAGTGGAAGAGGCTAGCATAGGCACAGAGATGGTGTATTGTATGTTTCCGTTTGTGTGATACTCAGAACTGTAGGAACAGAAGAGAGGTCAGTGATGCCAAGGACTAAAGGTGGGTAGGGAGGGGGTTGAATTTAAGGAGATAAATGGAGCTATTTTGGGTGATAGAAATAAATGTTCTCTCTCTTAATTGTTGTGTTGGTGGTTACATGACTGTACACATTTGTCAAAATGCAGTTCTCAAAAGAGTGAATATTATATGTAAATTGGACCTTAATAATCCTGACTTTCTAAAAAAAAATCACAAAAGGATTTTGTAATAAGTGGTAAATATACATCAAGTAAATCAATTTAAATATGCATTAAATCTAGCCCATTTTAACTGCATTTCCAGCCTGGATCCTAGTGTTGTTTTTAATTTAGAATGGCTGCTTATGCTTCTGAAAATGAAAGAGCAATTTACATGCATCTTCCTTTCAACACATATTAATGAAAGCACTCATTGTACTTCAGGTATTGTCCTAAATAAATATCTGTATTATGTGAGTAGTGGGGGGTGGAATGCAAACAAATATGCATATAAGTAGTAATAAAATTATAATGGTGTTAAGTGCAGCAACTGAGAAGAATAGGTGTGCTGTGAAGGTGTTTAACAGAGAAACAAGACTCTTAGATAAAGGGAGCTGCACATGCAAAAAAGACCGAGACAGGAATGAACTTGAATGAGTTCTAAAAATTGAAATACGGTAAACAGGGAGTGAGCATGGGTGATTAGAATCAATGAGCAGGCTGGAGAGTTGGCAGGGGCCAGGTCATGTAGGATCTTACAGACTGAGTTGAAGATTTTTAACTGTCATTTAGATTTTGCTACATAATAAACCACCCCAAAGCTTAGTGGCTTGAAGCAACAAACATTTTATTTGTCATGATCCTGTGGGTCTTCTGGGGATTTCTTTTTCTGGAGTTGCTCAGCTAGAGCTAGATGGTATAGTCTATGTACATGGCTAGCAGCTCATATGATATCGCTTACTAGTTACAAGGTTCCCCAGCGCAGAAGAAAGAAAGAAGAAAGGGCAGGCCCCAGTGCACAGACTTTACAAGTCTTCACTTGCATTACATTTGCTATTGTTCTGTTGCCCAAAGCTAGTCATGTAGCCAAGCCCAGAGTCTGTGGGGAAGTCTACCTAAGGGTATGTGTACTGGGAGGAGACTTGACCATTTTTGCAAATAGTCTCTCACGTTGACTAACCTATTACTTTGTAGTTTTAGAATACATTGTACATATTTCATCTTCTGCAAATATTTTTTCAATAGGTTGTCCTTTTATTTTGCTTATGGTTTCCTTTGCTGTGCAAAAGCTTATATGTTTAATTTGGTCCCATTTGTTTATTTTTGCTTGTATTTCTTTTGCTGAGTAGACCGTCGTAGGAGAACATTGCTAAGATTTATGTCAGAAATGTTTTGCCTGTGTTTTCTTCTAGGCGGTTTATAGTGTCGTGTCTTATATTTAAGTCTTTAAGCCATTTTGAGTTTAATTTTTGTGTATGGTGTCCCTGAGGGAGTGTTCTAACTTCATTGATTAACGTGCAGCTGTCCAGTTTTCCCAGTCATCTTCTTTCGAATACATTATACTCCTCCCTCAGAATCCATCTGGGGGGATTAGTGTCAGGACCCCCTGGAGATAAGAAAATCTACAGATGCTCAAGTCCCTTACAGTCAGCCGTCTGTATCTGAGGATGCAGAACTCAGGCATACAGAAGGCTAACTGTTTACATTTTAATATTGGAGTTGGTTGGTTGTATATATCATCCTTTTTGATGGGATGGCCTATTAGACCACTTTCCCAGTCTTAATACATTCTTTTCATTTTACTTTGTTCTATGAAGGTTCAGCGAACTATTGCCAAACAGATTCAGATGGTTCGGCAAGTTGGTAAAGGCCGATACGGAGAAGTGTGGATGGGTAAATGGCGTGGTGAGAAAGTGGCAGTCAAAGTGTTTTTTACCACTGAAGAAGCTAGCTGGTTTCGAGAAACAGAGATCTATCAAACCGTGCTTATGCGCCATGAAAACATACTCGGTGGGTACATGTTTGACTTTGATCAGCCATGTTCCGACAGGGATAGTGGGAAGCAGATGGAAGCCTTCCACATGGGCTTTGAAAACATACGTGAATTCAGTTATGTGCACTTGGCTAAAGGAAACCCAGTGGAATACACAGTTTTAATACGACCCAGTCCTGAATGGCAACCAACCACTTTACAAGCAGACCTCGGAGATGTTTCGGGGTTGGGATCCAGACCACTGCAATAAAGCACATATCCCAGTACAGCAAGTTACACAAATATTTGGTTTCCCACTAAATATAAAAGTTATGTTTATGCTGTACTGTCATCTATTAAGTGTACATTAGCATTGTACCTAAAAAAGAATTTGCACACCTTAATTTAAAAATACATTATTGCTAAAAAATGGCAAGCCAATTACAATAGTAACATCAGAGATCATTGATCACAGATCACTGTAACAAATATAATAATAATGAAAAAATTTGAAGTATTGTGAGAATTGCTAAAACGTGACACAGAGACATGAAGTGAGCAGATGCTGTTTGAAAAACGGCTCGTATAGACTTGTGGCATGTCTGTATTTACTGTATAGGTATGTCTGTATTTACTACCCAACTGAGGAAACAGCAGTGCATTTCTACTTGGAAGTAGCGTAGTTTAGTGGACTTAACTCAGAGAGTATCAAAACTCGAGTCTTTTAGAGGTAATTTAAGCGGTTTTCTAGGGTAACTTGAACTATATGTACCTTTTGCCTACTGCAAGCTAAATCATCCCCTCCCCCATAAGATGTAGTTTCATTTATATTCTGTGCTTAGTAGGTCTCTCCCCCGACCCCCTTTTGCACAGTAGCAAAATAACCTAGATATGATCTGATCAGTAGGGTGCAAAACTCATCTGTCTTCCCTTTCTTTTCAGCTACTATTTCCCTGCCCCTGCCCTTTAATTTAGAGAGTGCATAACACATTGTGAAGAGTATATTTTCCTATACTAATTGTATTAGTTCCCTAGGGCTATGATAATGATGACCACAAACTGGTAGCTTAAAACAGCAGCAACATAATTCTCTCAGAGTTATGGAGGCTGAAGTTTAAAATCAAGGTGTCAGCAGGGCCATGTTCTCTGAAGGCTCTAGGGGAGGCCCCTTCCTTGCCTCTTCCTCCCTAGCTTCTGGTGACTGCCAGCTCTCTTTGGCATTCCTTGGCTTGGAGATAACACTCCCACCTCTGTCTTTGTAGTCACATGGCCTTCTTTCCTATGTGTCTGTGTCCAGGTTTCCCTCTTCCTATAAGGATACCAGTCATTGAATCAGGGCCTACTCTAACCTAGAGTGCTCGCATCTGAAATTGACTATATCTACAAAGACCCTATTTCCAAATAAGGTCACATTTGTAGGTGCCACGTGGAGATGAAGTGCGGTTGGGGTGTGGACGTTACTCAGCCCAGCTCTCACTGACCTTTTTCTGAAGGGAGGGAGGAGAAGGGAGAAGGAAAGGAGGCAGGTTTGGGAACCTACCTGTCAGTGAGCCAGACTGAAAAGGCTGATGTGATGAGGCGTTGATGGGCAGATGTGAGTTGGCTTAGTTAGAAGCAAACTCTTAGCTGAATATGTTTAACTTTACTGTTTTAATGTGTCCGCTCCTCAGTTTGAAATGGAGAGCCTTTTCCACATCCCTTCTCTATAAGTTCTTCATGCTTAGAGATTCATACAGGTTAATAACATTCCCCCAGGTGATTGCATGATACGTGATCTTTTTTTAGTCATATTGTTATCGTTTTTATGATTATCATTAAGATTATTTTAAATTAATTACAGAAGTGTAGAGTTATATGTGTAAATGGCAGAAATAGAAAGTTTTGTAACATTTTCAAGAGATTTTGTGAGATAAATTTTTATTATCTGTACATGATACCTAAATTATTCTCAGTGTCCTGAATGAGCATTCATTATTCTTCCTAACCACCTCTGGTAACTAATTTTTTTAACTCATTAATTGAGCAGGTTTTATAGCAGCAGATATTAAAGGTACAGGCTCCTGGACTCAGCTCTATTTGATTACTGATTACCATGAAAACGGATCTCTCTACGATTTCCTGAAATGTGCTACACTAGACACCAGAGCCCTGCTCAAGCTGGCTTATTCGGCTGCCTGTGGTCTGTGCCATCTGCACACAGAAATTTATGGCACTCAAGGAAAGCCTGCAATTGCTCATCGAGACCTAAAGAGCAAAAACATCCTCATCAAGAAAAATGGAAGTTGCTGTATTGCTGACCTGGGCCTTGCTGTTAAATTCAACAGGTGAGTGGTTCTTTGCCTGTTGTTTTGAAATTATTTTAATCTCCTAAAGATATTTACCTGTTTGTATTCAGGACAGTGGAATTCCAAACATGTATTTGTGCTTCTGTAGTAATACAAATAAATAGTTGGGGGAGGGTTTATCTTAGTGTTTTGTTGTTGTGTTTTTTGTTTTTTATAAAAATTACATTCTACTCTGCGTAATTTTTGATTTCCTACTTTTTATTGTCTTACACATCCTTCTATTTCAGTTTATAGAGATCTACTTCATTCATTTTTAACAGTGTTGTGCAAAGTTTGACATTTTATAGATGTCCTGTATTTATTCTGTCTATGACCCAACTGATGGGCATTAAAGTTGCCTCCAGTTTATCTCCATTATTTAAAAAATGCTTTAATGAATATTGTATTTTATCCATATATAATATCCCTGAGTACTTGTACAGGTATTTCTTCATGATGGAATCCTAGAGAAGGGGCTAGCTAGACAAAGAATATGTGCATATTAAATTATAGTATATGGCATGTTATCCCCTTAGAAAGTGTGCGCCAGTTTACACTCCCATAAACAAGGCGTAAGTATACCGTTTCTCCCCCATTACTGGGTATTGTCAATATTTTTAAACAATGAGAATGTAAGATTTTTTAGGAAGCCATTTAAATTGTTTTAATGTTATAACTCTGGAATGCAGCAGCCATCTCACATTTCAGAATTCATTTCAGGCCATAAAATAAAAGTACTAGTCTGTAATAAACCAAACATAAAAAATTTTAATCTCTCCTCATTATTACAGTGTTCTAATATTGTATTTTTTATCAGTGGAGTGTTTATTGGCCCAAATATTCATCAGGTGCTACTTAAGAAAATATACAATACATTATATTAATCTCTGCTTCAGAGTAGTTTCCAGAACTTGCTAGAACTGGGAGCCTAAAAACAAATCATTCATATCTTCCAACTCTGAAATTACTCCGTAAGTTGAAAAAACAATTAACATGTATTACTAATTGTCAGCATGATTATATAAACATTACTTAAAATAGAACTAAGTTGGTTGGACCCAGAAAGAAAAAAATGTAATCCTGAGTCACAAAGGATCACATGAGAATGATAAAAGCAAATGATTCCTCTCAGCTTATTTTCACATTTGCTTACTTTGGGATATAATTATCTACCACTTGTTTTATAGTCAGTATAATATATTGTGTATATATAGCATATATTTATATTCCATTTTGTGCCTCTGTAAAAAAGATGCCAACTTGATCTGAACTGGTACAAGATATTTACTGTCTTTATTTATCCATGTCTATTCATGCTTAGTTTTTATTGCAGACATAGTAACAATTTTGATTAAGAGTACTGCTCCAGACCCTCTTGGGGATGTTATATAATATGGAGCATATATTTAAAGAGTATGTTAATTTTTTTTAATCTGAAAGATGCTGAATTTCAAAATATATCTGGCCCCAAAGATTTCTGATACGGGAATGTGGACATATTAGATAGTTAGATTTTTAATTCATTTAGTTATATCTAGAGAGATAGACAGACAGACAAACCCTGACTTCTACAAAATGCAACTAAAATAGAAGATAAATGATTTTGTTCTTGGCCCTCACCCTGAACAGTATCTGTCTTCTGTTTCAGTGACACAAATGAAGTCGATGTACCTTTGAATACTAGGGTGGGCACCAAACGCTACATGGCCCCAGAAGTGCTGGATGAAAGCCTGAACAAGAACCATTTCCAGCCCTACATAATGGCTGACATCTACAGCTTTGGCCTGATCATTTGGGAAATGGCCCGTCGTTGTATCACGGGAGGTAGGCGTTTATGTAGCATGTTTCTGGTTATGTTTGTGTCCTCATCATTCAAAAAATAACAGCTCCAGTTATATAATTTAGACGTCGTGTACGTCAGGGATCCCCAAGACCACTGCCCAGTTCTGCAGTTCCATTAGAAGGGCTCAGCATATAGTTGTCCTCACAGCTAAGATTTATTACAGTGAAGGATACAAATCAAAATCAACCAAGGGAAAAGGCACACGAGACAGAAAGTTCAAAGGAAATCGGGCACAAGCTTCCAGAAGTCCTCTCGCAGTGAAGTTGCACGGAATATGCTTAATTCCTCCAGCAGTGAATTGTGATAAGTATGAAATATTGTCATCTAGGGAAGTTCATCAGAGGTTTAGTATCCAAAGATTTTTTTGGAGGCTGATCATGTAGGTAGCTCTGCCTAGCATGTATCAAAATTCCAAACTCCTAGAAAGAAAACAGGTGTTCAGCATAAACCATATTGTTTGCATGGAAGTCTAGGTACAGTGGCCGCCCTTATCATTTAGGGAAAGTTTTATATGAGTGTAGGGATCTGTTTACCAGGCGGGTTCCCAGACACCAGCCAAATGCCAGCCTTGCAAGCAGGCCTTTTAAGGATAGCAGTCTCAGGTCTGTTACGTTAACTGTTTTTTGCATATCATGTTGTCTTTCTCCCGCAGAACAAAACAAAAAATAGAAACTTTGTTGACTAGTAGAAACAATTGTGTACATAAATAATTAATTAAAAAAAATTTAGGGTGAGTGGTTCACCTTGCTTATTTTAAGAAATATCGGTATGTCCAGTGTGGACAGGTATGGTGGGAGTAGAGGAAATAATTAGACATTAGAAAAAGAACATATATTTGCCATTAAAAGTGAATCATCAAGTCTATAATTTTTTCTTCTTGATGTAAGAATCAGTTGTAGTTCCCTAGTTCAGTAGGAGGTGTTGAATGGATTACTTTGTCCAGCCACCATTTCTGTGCCCACTGTGTTTTCTCACTTACTGCAGGGATAGTAGAGGAGTACCAGCTGCCATATTATAACATGGTCCCCAATGATCCATCGTATGAAGACATGCGTGAGGTTGTGTGTGTCAAACGTTTGCGGCCAATTGTGTCTAATCGATGGAACAGTGATGAAGTAAGTGGAATTCAGTCCCCTGAGAAAGTGATTGCTGAGTGTCGCCGAGGATATGTCCCCACTCACTACATTCTCTTTACTTTTCAGTGTCTACGAGCAGTTTTGAAGCTAATGTCAGAATGCTGGGCCCACAATCCAGCCTCCAGACTTACAGCTCTGAGAATCAAGAAGACGCTCGCCAAGATGGTTGAATCCCAGGATGTAAAGATTTGACAGATACATAATCATGAGGAGAAATTCAGACTGCAGGAACTGTTTTCGCCCAAGGAACGGGTGGAACTAGAGTAGAATAAGGATGTTAACCTGGTTCTCAGACTCCTTCCTCACTACACCTTCACAGGCTGCTAATATTCAACCTTTCAGTACTCTGTAGAATACAAGCTGGGAACTTCTAAACACTTCATTCTTTATGTATGGACAGCTTTATTTTAAATGTGGTTTTTGATGCCTTTTTTTTTTTATTGGGTTTTTATGAACTGCATCGAGACTTCAGTCCTGATTAATAAGTCTCCAGTCAAACTCTGGGTACTGAATTACCTGTTCATAAAATGGTGCTTTCTGTGAAAGCCTTAAGAAGATAAATGAATTCAGCAGAGATGGAGAAATATACACTTTTGCCTTCTACCTGAGGAAATTTAATCTGTTTGTATTCTGCCTTTGTAAACAGCCTATGGATTATGACCTGTTTGGGATACTGCTTAGTTTATGATAGTTTGTCATGCCTTGCTAACGGGGTGTGTGTGTGTGTGTGTGTGTGTGAGTGAGTGTGTGTGTGTGTGTGTGTGTGTACACATGCATACCAGGATTCCTCTGCTGCCATTTGAAATTAGAAGAAAGTAGTTTATGAATGCACAGGAAGCTATTGGTGGCTGTTGGTTTTGTGCTTTAAAAAATGCATTATCTGACCAAGATTCGCCAATCACGTAAAAGCCATTTACCTTGCAAGTGACCTAGCTTCTCTACCAACTTTATTTTTTAACATTAAAGTTCGATATAAAGGCCAAAAGAAGTTTAAAGTGTACGTAAATTTGGACTGTTTTCCTCCCACCACAAACTTTTTTGAAGGGTGTGATGATTATTTTTGTCATGAAAAGCGTCCAGAGTTGGAACTTCCAATGCCATGACCCTTCCAAAGAAAACGCTTCTTTTTGAAGTGAATACTAATTCCTGCATTTGATAGCAATGTAAGTGCCTGTCACCATGTTCTGTATTCTTTATTCTCAGTAACTTTTAAAAGGGAAGTTATTTATATTTTGTGTGTAATATGCTTTACTTGCAAAACACCTGCTCCTTTACACCATATTTTATATATGTATATACATTCATACTGTAGAAACCAGCTCATGTGTACCTCACATCTCATCCTTAGGGGAAAAAAAATTAAAAGATCATGAGAAAAAAATGTTGTAAAATAGAACTACATGTAAATTTTCAGAATTAATTCAAAGTAGTATATCAAACCTAGGACTTTAACTTCAGGTATACACTTTAAGACACCATCATCTCAGTTTTCCTTTAAGAAAGGATCCTCCAATTAGAAATTTCTATTTCAGAGTTAATATAAATTTATCAACAACTGTTATAGACACTTAAATCATTTGACATTTTTGGTTTTATGATTCCTGTTCCGTAAGTTTGTGAAGATAGTGAAGAGTCAGGCGAAGAAACTCACTGTCTGGTCAGTACTTACATCTGGACACACAGCTCTTACCCGGTACAGTGCTTCACGTTTCATGGGTGCCTTGTTTTTCCAAGGAGTAATTCTGATCTGCTTAAACTTACTATGCTTCGTAATGCGTTTTAAATATTAATGTCTTAGCCTGAACAAACAACTCATGGGTGCATAAAGTGAGAGTTTTATTTGAATATAACATAAAATACATGTGATTATATGACAGCATAGTTAAAAAAAAAAAAACTTTAAAGAGTAGGAATCAGAGCATGTATCTGTCCATTACCAAAAATCTGACTGACGTTTAAGGATGAAACTCATATATTTGTCTGTACATCAAATTTCATAAAGTTGAAACTTGCTTTAACAGTTTTGACTAAGTTTAATAAGTTTCATCTAACATAATTTAAGTTTGTAGTATTCATCAAGATAAGTAAATTTATATATTAATAGTACTCTATAAATCGTAATTGCTCTTTGAGCATGTTTTCCCCATCTCTATACTGAGAAATAAAGATATTTTAATCTAAATTGCGATGTGATTTAAGAATACTTATGTGCTCTGATCTACTTAGTCTGAGGTTAACCTTGATTTTTCATTTGGTAAACTATAAATCTTTAAAATAATTTGTTACCTTAAAAAAGAAAAATAAGGAAAGGCAACACTGTTCTGAGAAATGTTGAAATACTATGTGGAAGCAAAAAAATTACAGATAATATATAAATACAAGACCATTATAATGATTTTTTAAATTAAATTGATCTATTAAAAGTAATACCAAGAACTCACTTTAGAAACTTGTTAAATAAACATATTTTCTAATGTAACATGGACATGTTATATGTATAACATGTTATTTAAAAAGCAAATGATGCCATTTCAAAATCCTAGTCTAAAAGAAGTTGCATGAAACCAATTTTTTTCTCTCCTTCTGTTACTCTTACTCTAAAATTTCTAGGTTCATCCAATAAGTGAAATGTTTAAAGAGGAAGAGGAAGTATTACACTGGACCATAGATAATTGTAAAACTCTAGAAGCCATTTGGTCCCACTTACAACTTAGCCTCTTAAAAACGTGTGGCTTCTGTCTGTCATCTCTTTAAATAACTAAAACTTAAAAACCAAAGCTACTTGAATATAACAAAAGTTAATCCTCCCTCAAAGGAGACTCTTCTTCTGAATTCTCTTTTATCCTGGTAAACATCTCCAGAATTAAAGGCACACTGGGATTGGCTTCAGTGTGTCATTTCTAAGCCTTTCCTGTACTTTCTTACTAGACAAGTTTCTGAAATACATAATTTGAGGCTAATTTCTCTGGAAATGTTTTCACAAAAGATATTTCAGTCAAAATTTTTGTTGCCTTTCCAGTGTTCAGAGCTGTTTTTAAACTTAGAAAGTGACCTATAGTTTTTGAAAATTATATTTTCCTAGAATGTGCCAGATTTTTTATTTATTCACTCTAAAAAATACTCAGTACCTTTCTTCCCCCAGGTGCTTTGTTTCTGTTTAGAACAAAATGCAATACAATGTTTAAAGAATCATGCATCTGTAAATTGGCCCAAGATCAAATTTGATGCTGAATAATTTAGGCAAGATTTTATAAATTAACTTAACCTATGTATCTTGTCATACATGTTTTGAAATGTTTCTGAATATCTAAAATAATTTCAACTGCAGAAATATGAATTCTTTTTTTTTAAGAAAAGATTGTTGCAGCTCTTGTACTGTTTAAAAGTGGTAATATTTATTCTTTGTGTGGGTCAGATGTTAAAATAGCAATATAGCAGTTCATCTTCTTGCCGCAGTGCTGTTACGAGAGTCACAGTGAAAACTGCAGAGAGCTGACGTGTTCATAAAAGCCAAATTAAATCTAGGGTAGCAGCACATGAAGCTACGTGTAATGACCATCCCATAAGGAAAGTATGTGAATACTGCTTTTGCGAAGGATTAGATATATTATTGTAATTTTAGCTTGTGCTCTGTACCATGCTTTCAATGGACTTATTTAAGCCCTCTTAGTGACTGTTGTCCTTGCCCATTTAAAAACTAAAATGTAGTATATATTGTATAAAATCAAAGTATCATTATAGCTTAATTAGGAAGGTTGTACATAGACATTGAAAGAAGGGTTATAAACAGGCAGTTTTATTATGCAATTGTAAAATACCAAAAATATAGACTCATCTTTGATATGTAACACACTAAATGTATTTTGTACAGCATCTGGTTTAAAAGGTGCCTTATTAAGTTTACCATTAATTGCTTTGTTCTATAGATTACATCCAATGTATCATTTTTAAGTAAATAACCTTATTTTAGTATACTTTAGTGATGTGTTTTGTGATACTCGAACTATACTGTGTATCAGAAGTCACGTGTCTGGTGAGATTTTTATAACGGGTAAGTTAGTATACATACAGGTGTCCCTGAGATGTCCCTTTCAGCTACCAGAAACCCACTATGGGACACAGGGCGGGTAGGTGACCACACACTCTTTCCTTTGTATAGATAGAGAAGGTAAAAACCTGTTATAGTGAAGGGTTTTTTTTCCTTTGAAAAAGAAAAAAGAAAAAACATGGAAAACAGGAAAGAATAAAGAAGTAAGCGAAATCAGTCAAAATCCTATTGCCAGGTGTTACCACTGTTAACATTTGAATTTTCTTTTCGATTTTTTTTGCTGCTGCATATTTTTTTACAATGTTAAGATCACAGTATGTCGGTATATATCCACTGACAACATAACTTTTAAAAAAATTGACTACATAGCATTCCACTAAGTTGATGGAACAATTTATTTTTGTAATTTCCTATTGAATATTTGGGTTATTCCCATTGTTTTGGAAAATACAACCAATGTATTGAACATCCTTGTACATAAATTTTCATATATTTAGTTTCTTAAATTGTATTCCTAAAAATGGAACCAATGAATATGAACTTTTAAAAGATTCTTTAAGGTGAAAAAAAGAAACCTGAGGTTCTTGATAAATAATGGCCATGCTGCTGCCCAGAAGGGCTGCTCACTTCCACGCCTAGCAGCGGTGTAAGACATGCTCATCTCACTCACTGCCACTGCCTGGCCAGGTAACTTCTCCCAGGTTCCTCCTCTTTTCTGCTAACAGGGTGCCAGGTTCTTGTGTGTAACTAGCTTCTTTTAGTTAAAGTGATGGAATCCATTTATCCGGCCTTAAGGTGTTCTTGCTGCAGCAAATGCTTTTTTTTTTTAAGCTTAAACTTCAGGGAAGTTAAGGAAGCCCTCCTCCTGCAGCTGTACCATCTTCCCTCCTGCACTTGCTCACCACCTCTCAGAGCTGCTTTCAGCTGAGTGTAAAGTCACTCAAGTGTGCCTCGTGATGCCTTTTCTTAGTTAAATGTGTTAAATCCTCATGAAAGATTTGGGACTAGTGATGTCTCCCCTAACTGCCCCCACCCCCCGGCAGGGGGAAAAAAAATGCATGTTTGAAGATAGCCTATTACAAATTCCTTACCGGGATCCTCATTTAGTGTCAGTATACAGCGGTTTCTTGAGACAATAGCACGCACTCTGACGCAGCTTGATAAAGAAGAAAATCGAATTTCCTGGGCCTGTCAGGTGCTCCCTGGCTCTTTTTCCATCTATAGAAGACTGGCCCCCAAACTGGATAAATATATCCATTTTTCCTCCCTGCATAATGTTGCTCTCACTGATTAGTTGAAAGAGTGACTCCAAGGTTTCTAGAGTAGACGTTAAATGTTCTTCCGGAATAGTCTGATCCTTGTTGGTAATTTCAAGCAGATGCTAATTCAGTCATTAAGTCTTCACTTACTTGGAGAAACACTGCTGTGCCTGTTGCTAGTGTGTGGACTGTTTCTGGCACTGCATGCATGCTTAAGTCAGATGCATATTCCTACAAGAAAGCCTTGTTGCAGCCTTGGAGCAGTGCAGCCTTGACTAAGTGGACGTGGTCCACTGCGGACGGCTAGCCGGGAGCACAGGCAGAGGCTACCTAATGGCACTGGCACTGTTACAATCGCCGGGAGTTAAACTCTTGAGCTCAGGGTAAGAGCAAATGGGCAGGTCACCCTGAAACTGAGAATTGGGAGGAGGAAACGAAGTTGAAGTGCAGAGGTGCGTGAAGGAATATTTCAGACAGAAGCAGAGAGCAGGGCTGAAAGGTTAATGCATAATTATCTTTTGAGGTAGGAGTTGTTACTCTCTTTTAGATGCAATAGGCGTGGCCTGCCTTTTTCTCCTCTGAACTTCATCTTCTTGGTCTTTGTCCGGTTACTTTCCCTCTCAGTGCTCCACGTGTGCTCAGAATGAAATTCAGGGTGATTCCGGAGGCCCCTATACCCACCTCACTACCCAGATCCCACATTCTATACAGGGAATCTAAAATGTTACCGCTGTTTAAAAGTCAATGTGAAATTTTTGCATTGAAAGTATTTCTAAGCTAGAGGAATTAAAAAGAGCTTGGGTTTTGTTTGTTTTTTTTAAAGGGGAAGCCATTTTTGAAAACAACTTTAAAATCAGATTGATGAAACATCTGTTACTCTGTTCTCTGTTACTCTCCTGTGTCACCGAAGTCCAAGTAAGTGTTGAAGAAACAAAGAATTGAAAGGCTGTAGCAAAAAAAGACCAACACTGTGAGGGGAGGCCTTTCAATGGAACACTAAAAGCAATTGTTAACCATTTGATTCTGCCTTCATACTTGGCTAATAGTTTGGGTGGCGATCGAATCCAACTCTGAAGGTACCGCTGCCTGCTCTTTCAGCGCCCCATGGCCAGTAAAAAGTCCGATACATGTCTAAGTCACTCCTTTCTGGTTTAACTTATTTTTTCATTCAAGAAGTGCAGAATTTGGGGGGACGGTATAGCTCAGAGATAGAGTGCTTGCCTAGCATGCATGAGGTCCCAGGTTCAATCCCCGGTACCTCCACCAAAAGTAATAAATAAATTAACCTAATCACCCCCGCAAAAAATTTTTTTTAAAGAAGCATAGTATTTGTTTCTGATGTTTTGAAGTTTAAACTTACCATGTCTAGATACATTCATCTGTTGTTACTTAGTCCTAATTGGGTCCTTTTCATCCTTCCTTAGATCTGGGAGCTTTTCTTCCGTTACTTCTTTACTCCCTTCCCTTTTTTCACTCTCTTTCTAGGACTGCTCTTAGACAAATACTAGGTCCCCTGGATGTTTCCTGCACATTTCTAAGCAGTCTCTCTTATGTTTGTTCCACCCTGACTTCTGCTTTTCAGCCCATCTCCTGAGTAATTTTATTTCAACAAACAAATTTAATTTTAATGTTATTTGTATTTTGAAAACATTAAAAACTTCCCCCCAATTGCAAAATAATATAAAGAATGCCATGTACCTTTCACCCAGATTCATAAACTCTTACATTTTGTCACAATTGCTCTGTTGTTCTGTGTGTGTACACACAAAACTACACATCCTTTTTTCTGAACTACTTAAAGAGTTCTAAGCTACAGAGCTCACGCCTCTTTATCCCTGAATACTTCAGGGATATTCTGTTACATAACCAATTATGCACAATTATCAAAATCAGGAAAGTTAACCTTTACACCATAACAATTAACAATACCAAAATGCAGACCTTATTCAAGTTTTGCTAGTTGTTCCAGTAAAGTCCTTGAGCACATTTTCTTGGTCCAGAGTCTGCCTGGGACCTTGCACTGTTGTCAAGTCTCCTTACTCTCCTTTAATCTGGAACAGTCCTCCAGCTTTTGTCTTTTGCAATACTGACATTTTCTAGAGTAAAGGCCACAGATTTTGTGGACCTGATGTCTGGGTCCTTCTCGGGGCATCCCATCAGGGGCCGTGGCGCCAGCGTGTCCTCTCTCTGATGATGTGACTGTCAATCACTTGTTGAAGGTGATCCTCACCTAGTTTCTCTACCGTGAGGTTATCAGTGGTTACAAAGTGACGATTTTCTAATTCCAGTATTACATCTCCATTATTAATTGGCATTCTGCTGTAAGGAAGAATGCTCCCCTTCTTGTTTATTTTTTATTATCACTATGGACTTGTGGATTCTTATTTTATTCAGTCAGCTATCATTTACTAGGTCATTATTTGTTGTGGTGCTGAAACTGACCCAGACTTGGCTACTGGGTGTTCATCAAGCTGGCGCCTGAGTCGTTTTGACACACGTGTGTCATTTTTGAGTGTGTCTTGCTTTGGGGCACATTAAGAGGTTCAAATCTCGTCTGGAACTTTCCTTGCCCCAGCCACTGAGTCAGCCATCTCCCCAAGGTGCTTTGGTTCCTTTTAGGGAAGGGCGGTATTTAGAAACCAGGATCTGGGTGGCAAATCATCAATGTAAATTCCCAGTTTCCTGTACTGTTTCCAGAGATCATATATCCCAAAATTTTCAGTTTGTTGAGTTTCAGAACCTGTTTCTGCAAATGTTCGGCAACTGCTTACCTGTGTGAACCCCTGCTCACCTCAGGTCTGTATTCCTCATCTTCTTGGCTTGATCAGGGAGGATGGGCCTAGCTGTTAGAGCGAAAGTAAGAAGTAATCCTTTCCTCTCTTCTCGCCTACTCAAGACGGTTCAGGCTTTCCCCACTGTTCGTTTACCTTCCCCGCCCAAGAGTTTTGTCACTGTCGGGCCTGGTTCCGGGGAGTTTTCTAGATGCAGGAGGATGGAGGAATAGCGCTCAGGCTAGAGCTGGGGGAAGGAGTCTTTGATGTTTTCAAGGTAAACATCAGGGGAGACCAGAGGAGCTTCAGAGTGTGAGAGGAGAGGAGAGTGTTGACAAACATTTTTTTAATAGACCATCTATCCTCTTCACAGTGTTTCTGAAATAGAAGTAAAGGTCTCAGTTGTTTCTGACATCGTGTTGTGGTTTGTGGAGACACATCTCTGGATCCACTCCTGGGGGGTCTTGACTGTGATCAGGTTATACGTGTCTTCTGGGCGTGGGAGGGTCTTGTCTTGCCTCCAAGAGTCAGTAGCTGCCCTGTGAGTGGGAGCTCAGGTCTGACCAGCACTGCTCTAGCTCGAGACAGAGGCCACTGCTGCCCGCTGCTGGGCACAGGCAAGGGACGGCTGGGACTGCCCGCCCGCTGCCTTGACTGCCCCTCCTCCACGGCTCCCTCAAGTGTGTTACGGGCTGGTTTTGGGGCTCCCCTGAAATCACTCCCATCTCTCAAATGTTTGGGATTATGATTTCCTCCTGCTAATTCATTTTGTACTTGCTCCTCTCTACTTCCTATTTTTCAGGAATTACTGAAATTTCCTGATCTGCTATGGTACTCTTCCTTGTTTTTTAATGATGTTTTTTTATTGCTTTACTTTTGTGTATTTTTTTTTCCATCAGGTTTGGAGATAACACACTGTGCTCAGGCCATTGTCTTGTTCTGGGTGCCACAAATGTTTACACATTGGCCTGGGTAACTGGGGGTGGGGGTGGGGTCTAACTGGGGGACACTCAAACAGTCTCCACCCAGAGATATTAGTGGAGATAAGAAATCTATCAAATGAACTTTAGAATTCTTGCTAATCTGGGGTCCGTATTATAGAAGTGTTTAAACTGAAAATTTGCACTTAAACTTGATAATTAAGATTTTGTGAAATTTGCATGGAAAGCACCCAATTTAAAAGAACCATTGTTTTTCCAGTTCTAACCCCAGAAACTTCCGGAATGACTCATCCATGCTGCTGCCAGAGCTTACCAGTTAGCACTTTCATTAATAACCTTCCTATTGAAGAGCACCGGCCGCATGAGGGCTGGCAGACATGCCCCTTATAGAGGAAGCCAATTCACTCTGCTTATTATGTGCAATAAATTCCAAATGAAAATCTTAATTAATAAGCCTGTATTACTCTAATATTTCCACTTAGTCATCAGCACAGCCTGACCAGTAAGAGCAGGATTGAGGAGAGAGAAGACACAGCATGGTCGTTCGAGCAGCCAGGGTGACCTGGTACTGGCTGTCTAGCCTTTGGTCAGGGGTGGCCCACGTACATCACGCCTTGGGTCAGGACTGGTCTTGGTCACTGGGCTGTGCTAGGTGGGAGGCCCTGGCTAGAGGGAAGGGCAGGAGTCGAACCTGAGGTCAAGGTAATAAAAGTAAGACTACTTGGAGCTGTCAGACTAACCACCTGGTACTATAGACGGAGAAGTTCAAGAGAGGCTGTGATTTACCCTGCGGTCAAACCGTCAGTGGCAGAGTGGCCTGGCACACTGTTCCTTTTAACACTGATATGTTAGCGCATTGAACACACCATGTTTAGTGGTAAATTCCAAGGGGCAATTATTGGAATTAATGAGCCCTTTAAAACAATGAGAAGGGCTGGGAACTTTGTTAACCCTGACAACCAACTCCGTCCTTTTTCCATACCCAGACCAATCAGATTTGCTTAGGGAGAAGACTATATTCAACAAATATTGACTACCTACTCCCAAAATTAAAACATTTCCAGTCATCTAGATGACTGCTTTCCCAAGCCAGTTTGCTCTAGGATCTGTGATTTATTTTTATTTTTGAAAATCATTTATTGATATTGTGGAAAAACTGTAGCCCTGAGCTGTACTGTCTGTTCCAATGTTATTAATGCCACTGGCTACTGTGAAGGTCTCTGAGTACTTTCTGTGGAATTAACTGAAATTGCGAAGTCAAATATGGCCTGGAATAATCAAAGTCACACGCCCAAATCATTCATTTTGTCCCGTCTTTCTACCTACTTTACCAAATCCTTTTGTTCGCCACAAGTGAACCAGGCAAAGGTCTGAAGGGCATCGCTTTATTTCAAAGTTGATCACTGTCGAGGGGGATTTTTACAGTCTTCCTTCCCTCCCTCTGCTCTGTTTCTGGTTAGAAACGCCGAGAAGAACTAGGGTGTCATAAGCTACTGGAAGAAGCAAAAAAGGCGAAGGGTATATACACAGTTTAGTTCATGCTCGGCATGTCTCGGCCTTCACCCTCTGTGAGGCGAGAAGAAAAAGAAGTGAATTTAAAGTTACGATAAATTCAAGGAAGGACTGAAACTAAGGAAAAGATGCTAATTTTGTTTCCCTTGGTTAACGCAACCAGGTCTTTGTCTCCCTTTTTGACCAACAGACACCAAACGGGTTGGGCTTCTCCTACCGCCCTGCCATGGGAGGGGAATGGTTTCCAATATTGTCCAAAACGTCACCTCCATTGAAAAATACTCTTTCCGGGAAAGAATGACTTTCTAGCTTAAGATGAGGGAGAAGAGGCAATGGGAGAAAGTGTTGAATGGAAATTTCCAACCACAGGAGGAGCAAGACACCAAAGAAGCTACAGAACACAGGGTTTGGGCCAGGAGCTTGGGTCCAAGCCACGCAACCCCAGAAGGCCCGCAGAGCCAAGTTCACACTTCCCTGGACCAGGTCCTGACCAAAGAGAAGCATTCCAGTCCTTCCCATTGCTAAGAAACAGCCAAACCCAGTGTGTCGAGAGGGAGGCCACACATACCACACTGTCTTTGCAGAAGGCTGCCAACTGGATGGGCTCCAGACCAACCCTGGCCTGAGCCCCTGGCCAAGGAGAGCTGGGCGAGTCCACGACGTCTGGTCTGCGCCCGGTGCTCAGGTCTTGAACATCAGGAAGCCCCCAAACGCAGTGCCTGGGGGGCTTCTCTTCATTACTGATCCCTGCGTTAGCTCAAACCACACCCTCTCACCCCTCTGCAGCTCGGCCATGGCAAAGGTAGTGGCCATGCTGCCACCCCTCTGCTCCTCAGTGGTGTGGACAGGGGTCCGATGGTGACCTCCAAACACCAGCTGCCCGGTGCCTGGCCCTGGGCCGAACTCAACGCTCACTGCAAACAGATAGACCCCACGCTCGGGGGCTCGGAAGTAGCCGTGTTCAGGGAAGTAGCTGCTGCCAATGTTGATGTAAGTAGTGTTGAACTTCACCGCCTGCAGGGTGGCCGTCCCTTCGGAAAAGCTGGCGTAGAAGGCCACCGGGGAGCCTGGAAGGCAAGAGGGAAGTGTCAGTGACTCAGCCCTTCCCTGCCTTGGATGCGAAATTATACCCTGAGACCTGCCTTCCTCACCTTCGTAACATTACAAATAGCTCACTATTTCTAGATAACCTAGAGATTCCGAACAGCAATGTGTTTCAGCGAGTGGGAACTGACTGGCCAGCTCTCAGTATTTCGATAGTTAAGAGACAGGGACATGAGGGTTGATCCCTTCCATTAAAAATAAATATATAAATAAGTAAAAATAAACCTACCTTCCTCATCCCTAAAAAATAAATTTAAAAAAATTGAAGGAAAAAAAAAAGAAAAAGGGAAACACATATCTTGTCTTTACCGGTGTACATTTTAACAAAGCACTTTCTTGTTTGATCCTTCTTCCTTCCAACCTCCTTGAGAGGTAAGTACTGTGATTGAGGAAACTTGAGTCTTGAGTGCTTAACTAGTGTCCAAGGCTACGTGGCTTGTTGCTGGCAGGCTGGGACGGGTCTCAAACCCAGGTCTCTGACTCCCAGACTCCTGCCACTTGCCAGGGATCTTGAGATACACAGGGGAAAGAAAGGATTACCTATCCTCAGAGTAATCATGCTGAGCCTGCTGAGGTAATTAAGGAACGAAGGGTGGTTCCCGCGCCATGTTTAGCACAGAAACCTGGAGAAAGAGCAAAGCAGGTGGGACCAGGGAAGAAAAGTCTTTTCAAGCTGGTCATGTTAATGTTTTCAAAGTATTGCACAGAACTCTGGGGTTACAGAGAGGGAAACAGGCCCAGAAAAGGAAAGTTGCTGGGTCTCTCTTGCGTGCTCTCTCTCTCCCCCCATCCGCGCCCTGTTGAGACCATGCTCCCTGTTTCTCAAGGGATAAAACCAAGACCTAAAGGAGAAGCAATTTGCACAGCAGTTAGTAACTCAAATCCCAGAACTACAGCCCCCGCTCCTTGGCTCCGGGTTCAGCATCATCCCTGTAAATGACAAAAATTTTGCTGTTCTCTAGCTCTGGAAGATGTCCTGAGAATTAGAGTTCAGAACAGCTTTGCCGTCTAAGACTGTTAGGTCAGAGGCCCGCTGCTGGCTCTGCAGTTCCCCCCAGCACCCAGGAGGTGGCGCGCTCGCCCCACCGAAGGAAGGCCAGTCTAGCGCGCCCTCTGCCGGCGACACTCGCTCACGCCAGCCTGCCCGCGGCTTGGAGTCTGGCTTTAGAGGGAGGCCGCCGGCAGCCAGCCGCCAAGCGTGCTCCTCAGAAGATGGAAGGGTTGAGTGAACTCCACTGATTTGCTAGCAGGCGGACTGAGAGTGGGCTTCCCTGCAGGGCACAGAATCAAACCCTATAGCCTTATAAGGGCAAATTTTTATTTTTAATTCTAAGACAAAAATGTTTTTAAATAACAAAATACTGCAGTGGTAAACTCAGATACCTAAACTATTAGGCTCTTGAAGCCTTGCACCCTCACAACAGGGAAAAAGATGTAAGAGTGTAGGAGGATACAGCCTCAGCCCTGAAAATGCCAGGGAAACGGGAAAACATTGGTTTCTAATAAGTGTTAAACCTGTGCTAAGTTTTTGGTAAATGTATCTGTTAGTCTTCCTAACTATCCTTTGAGGCAGGCTGTGGTCCCCCCATTTCACAGAGGAAGGAACTGAGGCTAGTACGTCCTCCTGGATGACTCCTGGCCTTCACTGCTCCCAGGAAGACAGTCTCAGAGCCAGCCTCCCAGGACCAGGGCTCTGCAGGGCCTAGTCGAGAGCCTTTCACAGGGAAGAGCCAGCACCCTAGAGACAACCAGACTGGGATAAGGGTTCCTCTAAATTGCTTCCTAGCTGTGTGAGCAGGATGCTTTCCTGACCAATTTAGTTTCAGGTAAAATGACAGTGATAACATGTCACTGAGCGGTTGCGATGATTCAACATGGCAAAGCCCAGGAAAGGCACCGTGGGGGACCTGGCTCAGGGTGGGTCCTCTGTGTTAGCAGAATGAGCTCCTTTCTGGGCCCAGGACTTCCCCTGTATTCACCTCTTGTGGGATGCTGTCCACGGCAGATGGGATAGGGGTGTCCCAGCACCTGTTCACACACTCACTTACTTATAGGGGAAAGCTGAAGACACATAGTGGGGTGAATTTTGGGGGGTGGTGGGGAAGAGCTGAAATGGAGGGATTTGGGGTGTGCTATGGAGGAAAGAGAGGCAGCCCCTACTCCTGCTTCACAGGGCCGCAGGCAGGCAGTGGTGTACATATGAGCTACAGACGTTTGCTCGGTGGGGCTCTGCCTGCTCACTGATGGTTGGGACTTCTACCTCCTAAGAAGTACTCCGGGTAGCTTAAAAGGCCTCTACGCCTGAATGGAAGGTAGGTCAAGGGCAGAGCCAGCCCTGAGTAGTGGTGATTGATGGTCATCCTGTTCTCTTTCACCCACGCCCCCTCTGAGGCAGAAGAGGTGCTAGCAGACAGCCCTGTCCTCCAAGATTCCTCCTGGCCTTCTGCGGCCCAGAAACTCACCTGCCTCCCACAGCGCAGGCCCTATGACATTAACCTGCGCATCCTCCAAAGGTTCCACTTGCTTTCTGTCCCTCCTCCTGCGAGCTTCCAGATCTTTCTGTTGCTTCTTCCCTTTCCTGCTCAGCATAGCCTGCAGCTTCTCCAGGTCCAGGCTGACGTTGGCGGCCACGAGTCCTTGGAAGTTTCCAAAGAGGCTGTGGAAGAGGCGCTCGTGCTGCTCCAAGCCGCGCTCAGCGGTGGAGAGCGCCCCGCGGAGGCCCTCGAGGGAGCTGTTGAGGGAGGAGGCCCCGGAGGCCTCGCAGCATTGGCCCACGCGCTCGACGTCGGAGCTCAGGCGCTGGAGCTCCTGTGCCAGCCCCTCCAGGTCCGTCCCGCCGACCTCCCCTGGCCACGCGTCCCGACTGGGCTCCAG